TCTAACCCCAAAAAACCCCCCTCCCAAACAGAACACTCCCCCAGCCTATCAGAGCACAGCTAACCCCCCATCCTATCAGAGCGCAGCCAAGTTCCTTAACCAATCAGAGCACACATCCACCCATTCAGAACACAACCAAGTCCCTGCCCCCTCATTTCAAACCCCACTGGCAGTTAAAAGAGAGAAACAGCAGACATTTCATATTACTCTAAGAAGCACAAAGCTAAAAGCACAAGCCTGATGATGATGAATGTGATTTCATCGAAACGTCGCTATGATACTTCTAATCTTACACGGGAGAAAACCCGAATGACCAAAGACTCATATATATATATATATATACACATACATACACACACTCACACACATAGATAGATAGATAGATAGATAGATAGATAGATAGATAGATAGATAGATAGATAGATAGATAGATAGATAGATAGATAGATAGATAGATAGACATACATACGTACACATTATTACTACCAACTATTATTCATATGTGTCATTTGTTAATTACATTTGAAAGGAACCACAAGACCCATGGTTTATTGCAACACACTTTAATCCATCCTTTTTTAAAAATTCTCCATTAGGGTCCAAGGACATTATAATAGTCTCCCTGTCTATATACCTTGATGATGCTAAACATAATTTAAGGCTTGTAGGTCTAAACCTTGTTACGGAGCTTGTGCAGTTTGAAACCTAAACTGCAGACAAAATCCAAACATTTTGAAAAAGCCAGCAACATTGAAGTTGCCCTTGTTGCAAAAATCATATCTAGTCAAAATTGGCAGCTTTGGATCCAGCTCAAAAGCTGTGCGAAATTTCAAGGGGAACTTGATAAAGGAATTGCCACACTTGTTGGGAAGATTTTGCTTATGATCTCAGTAAACCAACTCTCTTAAATGGTCAAATGCCCTCTCCTTTCGTCGTTTTTAGGTAAACATTTTTATGGTGACCCATGCTTTTGAGGGCCTGTTGTGGAAGATGTGATCTGGAATTCTTTGATTGGGGTGGTATGAGCTCTCCTGCCTTGAGCAAGAGGTTGAATTTCTTTTAATGAAAAGAAGGACCAGGGTTGACATGATAGCAGTCTTCCAATATCTCAGGGGCCGCCCCAAAGAAGAGGGAGTCAAGCTATTCTCCAAAGCACCAGAAGGCAGGACAAGAACCAACGGATGGAAACTCATCAAGGAGAGAAGCAACCTAGAACTAAGGAGAAATTTCCTGACAGTGAGAACAATCAACCAGTGGAACAACCTGCCTCCAGAAGTTGTGAATGCTCCAACACTGGAGGTTTTCAAGAAGAGATTGGACTGCCACTTGTCTGAAATGATATAGGGTCTCCTGCTTGAGCAGGGGGCTGGACTAGAAGACCTCAAGGTCTCTTCCAACTCTGTTATCCTATATTCTGACCTCCGAGGTCCGTCCCTCTATGATTCTGTGGTTGAATCTCGTGATCATGGTCGCCTACAGACCGAAGGGAGGGGAGAAAAGCTCGGAATTGGAACAGAAACCTTAGTCCAGCAGATGAACAAAGGAGGAAACAAAACAGATCTAGGTTTGCTAAGCTCCTCACTCATTGTCCAACCGAGGTTTAGCAGTTCTGACGGGTTACTGAGCAGACAGCTCAAGACTGAGATGAGTAATCTCCCAGAGTCCCTCTTCAGCAGGCAATGAAAGCAAGTCTCCACTTTGAAAATCTTTTCCCCATCATGCAAACTGACACAGGCCTGCTTTTCAAAAACCCACAGCCAATCTGTTGATCATTACTTATTTACAAAGGCCTCCAGGCAGAAAGTCCTGCAAAAACCATACTTGAGACGATATACACACTAGCTGTTTCGGCTTGTGGAAGGGGGGGGTCTGTGCGGGAACTTCCCCCCAAGGCTCCCTCCAACCATCACTTTCCATTGCACATAAAATGTACCGTGTAACACTAAAGTATTTAATATATATGGTATAATATATCTACGGGAAAGGCATCTGTGTAGAACTGTGTTAGCCCGTATTTGGTAATTTGATGTTTTGCTGAAGGCAATGACTTGAAAAAGCCTCTACCTTGCATTGAGGACCTGTCATCTTAGTACCCATGAGCCAGTAGAATAAAGAAGTACCCTAAAGCAGCAAAAATTTTGACACAGCTTTGAAGCACATGAAAACAGTAGAACTCCCCAGAATTATTATGACTCCAGATCAAAGAAATGAGGCATACTTTACATAGCAAATAGGGACACAAACACTTCGCTCCAAACGATACCAGGTCCTCTGCCCTCTCGCTCTTCTTCTTCTTCTTCTTCTTCTTCTTCTTCTTCTTGAAGAAGAAGAAGAAGAAGAAGAAGAAGAAGAAGAAGAATTATTTCAGGTTTATATCCCTATATTTATCTGATAACAGAAGAACTGGGGGAATATTTCTCTCTCTTTCTCTTTTTTTCTGTCAAATTTCACATGAACAGAAATTAATAGAGAGGAGCTACATGGAAAGTAAAGGATGCGAGGATGTCCACCAGCATCACAAAATGGATGAAATAAAATGCATTCCGGGCTCACCTTATTCCCTGTCTAACATAAACATAGAGGTAAAATTGGTTCCTGCATCAGCAAGGATTAGCAACATGGGTACTGGGGGATATATATATCCCCCAGTACCCATAACTACACAAAGCAGCAATCGTTGTTCAACAGAAAGAGAACAGAAAGATGCAAAGCCCTGTTTCCAGTCTCTATTTTCCTGCCCTTCCGGTCAAAATTTGAAATGAAAATAGGTGTATTTGAGGAAAGACACTGTAGATTTCAGGGGAAATCAGTTTCTTGAACCAAGTAAGAAACAGCGTGTCTGAATCTCCATGTATTGTCTGGTTTTAATCTCCCTTTTTTGTGTGTGTGGTTTGCCTTTTTTTTTGAAACCACAAAATTGTAAGGCACAGGAAAGTCAGAAACCTGGATCTCGTTTTATGCCTCCTACTGCTAAAAGTGCCAGAATTGGGGAGAGGTCACCCATCCGCCAGGAATTCAGATTTTAAAATCCCAAGTATAAGGAAATTGAGAAAATTTCAGACACCCCGATTTTATAAACAGACATTTTTGTCCCGAAGACAATTCAGGATCAATACTTAAGAGGTTTGAAAAAAGGAACAAAAAGTAAACACTTTCAAGAGTTTACTCCTGGTTCTGTACAATCCGTTTACAAGCTCATCTTATAAATTCTTACGGGGAGCTTCGGCTCTTAAGACTTCCATCCTAGCAGAAACACTTGTGGGCACCAAGTGTTCTGAACACTGTAACAACGCCCGAACAACACCAACAACGACGCCTTTCGTAATGAATGCTATTTTTTTTTTTTTTTTTAGCCCCAGGACAACGACGTTAGTTTTGAACTTTGCTTCGGAAAGCGCCCGGATTCATTATCCTGTCCACCCCTCCCTCCCCATCCTCTTTTTTTTTTATTTTTTTGTTTTATTTTTCCAAATCAATTAGAGGAAATTTGATTTCAGTCGACAGGATCAAAAGGGAAGGTAATATTCAGGTTCATTTCTGATTGCGGTGATACGTCTCACGCACGGTTTTAAGTACAGAAAACAGCACTTGGAGGGATTTCCAGAAAGAAAGAAAATCGCCTGAGGCAAACTTAACCCATGGGTTTCTCGGATTGGTTAGCGCTATCATTAGTGCCATTGCTGTTTTAGAACTACACACGGACAAGCTGAGTGACAGCTAAGACTTTAAAGCCTATGTATTTTTCAAACAGGTTTTCAAATTGTTTTTCATGACAGATTTTTTTTTTCTCTTTCCCCCCCGAGCTCTATCATTAACTGCTGACAAGCTGACAGAATAAATACTCCGGCGTTTTCAGAAACCATCTAACAATCTTTTACTTTTCCCTAACACCCTGCCACGATTTTGGTTGTGTTTTGTTTTTTTCTTATGAATTTTTTTTTTGGGGAGGGGGGAAGTGAAGGAGGCGAAATTATTGTCTTGAAGAGAAGAGATAAAGATACGAGCGGCTTTGGACCTCACCTCATCAGTTTGGGCGAACAGTTGGGCGAATTTCTCATCCCTCCGTTCCTTTGCTTCTTCTTGGGCGAAAGAGTCGTCAGTTGCTCGTCTTCAACTAGAAACACAAGTAGCTCGGTGAGGTTATGACCAGCTCAGACATGGGATACAGGTGAAATAGCCACCACCACAACACACACCCACACACAACACACACACACAGTTCCATTCATGCTATCTTAGATCGCTGCTACTTTGCATTAGCTTGAATAAAAACCATCCTGGCTGAAAAAGAGATGGGTTGAAAAACTCAAGGAAAAGAAGAGAAACAAGTTATATTCCTGATAGCCTTGACTTTTTTTTAAAAAAAAATATATGCTTTTTTTTTTAAACTCAAGATTTAAAATCAGAAATTAGGGCTTTTGCTGCAAAGTTTAAATAGGTCATTCAGAAATAAAACCTGGAAACTGCCAGACGGCATTTAATTTTGGGAATACCCGATGGGAGTATCCCAGGACAATTTTTAAAAAACCTTCAAGCCTTTAATTTGAATAAATTAAGGCCACGCGAAGTCCTTCATTATGACTCAAGGGCTCGCCGTTTGATTTCAAAATGAGATGTTCTCACAGAAAAGAAATCCAGGTGGCCAATGGACAAAGGAAAGGATTTGTAAAAATGGGTGTGAGGTTTGCAGTATTAGCAAAAGTTACAGATGCTTTAAGGTGGTTGGTTATTATTATTGTTGCATCCTTTGGCAAAATTCTACAGCCCGGCAGTTGTTAACCTTCAACACAACGACACCAGCCTTTCCTAACAAGCTCTAATTCAGTGCCATTATTACCGTAAGATTATTATGAATGGGTCGGTATTTTTGCTAATTAGAAACGTCTAGTCTAGCAAAACGCTTCTGCGTTCAGAGGAAACAAACAAATTAATATTTCAAAGGGAACAGGAAACGAGACCAATACAAAACAGCACGTTAAGAACAATAACAACAAAACAGGGCCATCAATCATTTCAGGAATTATCAGAAGGAAGAAGAATAAAATGTAAAGAAAGGAGTAAGAGAGGGAGGAGAGGAGACAACTGGTTTCATTGGAAAAGAATCAGCCTATCGAGAATCGAGAGAAATTTAATGCTAGCATCTAAATTGCATTTTTAATAGCTTTATGATATTTTGGCTGGTAGTTGGAAACTCGTTATGTTGAACCTCTATGGATATTTTCTGTAATTTACACCTTTCCATCCATCAGTGCGTCCTTCCCTCTGTCTAAATTTATAAATTCAGCCATGGGCCAATCTAGAGCAGAAGCTTAAATATCTCGCAATAATTATATAGTGGAACAAAAGTAGCTAAAACCTTGTAAACCGAACATTAGAACGATTGGCTTTGAACCGCAGAACCGATTTTTTCAATTTTATAAAGTAAATGTATGTAGGTATATATGTATATAGGAAGTCCTGGACTTACAATGGTTCGTTTAGTGACTGTTCAAAGTTACAGCAGTACACAAAAAAAAGTGAATTATGACCATTTTTTCACAGTTACGACCTTCGCAGCATCAGGATCATAAATATATCTAAGAAGCTGACAAGCAAAGCATGGATTTCAGTGGTTCTTAACACTGGCTATAAGCCAGATTTCTTTGGCTATGAAATTCAGAAATCCATATGTATGCTTGCATGTTTTATTATGCCTGGGCATCACAGATCAAAAAATAACATTTGCTGGGTACGACAACAACGACAGGAACAGATGGACGCTGCGCTGTGTTTTCAAACTTAAATGGAATTAAACGTAAGTTAGAATCTATTTGCGCAACATGTTAAGCCGGTTCAGTTTCACAGTGGTGGCTTCAGACAAAGCCTTCCCATTTCCCAACTTTTCAGAGTTCAAGGTAAGCTGCATCTGAGATTGAGCTGGGTTGATATGATCATGGATCTATTCCATCCTGCCTTCCGCCCCACATCAAAGCATTGGTGAAATTGATTAGGAATTAATTAGCAACCAGCCAGCTATTAACAAGATGCCAGATTGCTTAGCTTGGAGGTTTTTTTGGGGGGTGGGTGGGCTGGAGACAAGAGGGACTGTCAGCTTCAGAGGCAGCAGTTTTCCTTGAAAGAAAATTCCTAGGTGAAGGAAATCCCTCAGATGTACTAGATCTACAAGACGCTGAGCTTGTCAGTTGGAAAACTGACATCCTGGGTTTGAGACCTGAGCACCGCAGGACGGGGTGAGCTCCCATCACTTGTCCCAACTCCTGACCACTTATCAGTTTGAAAGCATGCCACTGCGAGTAGATCAATTAGGTACCACTTCGGCGGGAAGGTAACAACATTCTGTGCGCCTTTGGTGTATAGCCATGCTGGCCACATGACCCCAGAAAATGCCTTCAGACAATGCTGGATCCCACAGGACAGAGGTGAGCACCGCCCCTCAGATCCTGGTTGTTGTCATGCTGCGGCCTGGTACTGGTCCATGGCCCAGGGGTTGGGGACCCCCGGTCTAGATACCTGATCAGATACCCTGACACTGTGCCAAAAAAGCAAATCTTCTCATTTTTCAGGATAATGCCTGGGTAGATTTTTTTTCCTTCTTAGGCCTCTGTGACTCGGGAGGAAAAACAATGTTATCAGCTATTTCTGTATTTCTCCCCTATTTCTGTGTTTTTTCTTCTTCACCCTCTGTAAAAAAAAATCATCATAATAACAACAGATTAAACATTATACTCTGTATGTTGAAAGTGTACAGCTTCAACCTTTCCCCAACTGGCTCCGAGCGATGTAGAGATTGTAATCTCGCTTGTCAGCTGCCGCACGTACTTAGACCCTTGCGTGATCACTCTCGAATTCCTCTGCCCCTTGTCAAATCTGCACAACCTTACAGTGAAGCTACAAAATATGGCAGATTCACTGTGGATCAGGAAGAGCCCAGACGGCTGATGTCTCTTTCTTCAGCTAAAAGTTCAGCTGATGAGTTGGTAACGCATTTCTTAGCAAGGGGAATACTTGCCCATACCTACAGTACATGTCTACATTTGTGTGCATGTGTGCATGTGTGTGTACCCTCTGTCGCTTTGCTTATCGAAAACACCAAAAAGGGATAAATCAAATCATTTACTATATATATATATATATATATTTGCCTAGAGAGAGGGAGGAATGTGTACTTGTGAACTGCGTAAATAAATATTTCAGTTAATTATTTATGTCCCGGTCATTAATACTTTATTTTCCTCTGCTTTGCCTTGGCAGAACGCATCATAAAATCATTGATTAGCCCGTCAAGGTACTGATGTTAAAGTATTCACTCACTGAAATATTCAGTCTGATGGAAAGAGGGTTGTCTATTGATGGAGGAATGATGAAAAAAAAATCTGGGATAGATGAAGGAGCCTTTTTAACAGAGAGAGATGGTGACAATATTATTGTCAGATTTGTAAAACACACAGGCACACACAATGTTCCCTATAACTGCAGAGGGTGATTCAGAAATCCTTTCGATTCTTTGGAAAAGAGACCGAAATGTAATGTTAAGCCCGAGGCAGATAAAAAGTAAAGTAGTCCCTGCGGATCTTACTCTGTTAGTTGTTGCTGGCTATAGGGGGCACTGTTCCTCTCCGTTTCAAGCCATCACTGTCTGAAGACATTTCGGTGGTTAGGGGGGCAGCATGACGTCACGGGGTGCTGTTACCTTCCCATCGAAGTGGTACCTATTTATCTACTCACATTTGCATGCTTTCAAACTGCTAGATGGGCAGGCTGAGGTGAGGACAGGAGCTCACCCCTTCACGTGGTGCTTGCGTGGTCTTGAACCTGGGCTGCTGGCTTTCCAGCCGATGAGCCCAGCGCCTTAACCACTGAACCACTTGATGCGGGTAATAAAATTCAATGAAATTCACAATCATGAAGCAGATTTGCAACTGCAAAACCAGTGTATGCATCTGTATTTGAAAGTGAGCGACTAAAGGGCAGATTTTGAACATCTCTGGTCATGCCCATTTGAGTGCTTCAACCAGCTGAGCCGTGACCTTCCTCACAATTCGGCAGCAATTGCCTTTCATCAGCCTAGGATAAAAGACGGAGTTTCAACACATTTCAGATTTTAGGGGTTGTTCAGTCAACTGGCTGAGGGTGGGGGCCTTCGTACATAAGAATACTTTGCTGTTTGAAGATATGTTGACAGGCTATGTCATTGGAGGAGCCTGCAAGCATTTGCTTTCATTTGGAATTAACGATGGCTTCTTGTAATGACAAAATATGGTTTCTTGCATCCAAAGAAGTCATTGCAAGTCATTTAGAATAGAATAGAATAACAGAGTTGGAAGAGACCTTGGAGGTCTTACAGTCCATCCCCCTGCTCAGGCAGGAAACTCTGTACCATTCCAGACAAGTGGTTGTCCAGTCTCTTCTTAAAAGCGTCCAGTGATGGAGCACCCACAACTTCTGAAGGCAACTTCTGTTCCACTGGTTAATTGTCCTCACTGTTAAGAAGTTTCTCCTTAATTCCAGGTTGCTTCTCTCCTTGATGAGTTTCCACCCGTTGCTTCTTGTCCTGCCTTCAGGTGCTTTGGAGAATAGCTTGACTCCCTCTTCTTTGTGGCAGCCCCTGAGATATTGGAAGACTGCTATCATGTCACCCATTGTCCTTTTCTTCATTAAACTAGACATACCCAATTCCAGCAACTGTTCTTCATACGTTTTAGCCTCCAGTCCCCTGATCATCTTTGTTGCTTTTTCTTCACTCTTTCTAGAGTCTCAACATCGTGATGACCAAAACTGGATGCAGCATTCCAAGTGTGGCCTTACCAAGGCATTGTAAAGTGATATTAACACTTCACGTGATCTTGATTCTCTCCCTCTGTTAATGCAGCCCAGCACTGTGTTGGCTTTTTTGGCAGCTGCAGCACACGGCTGGCTCCTATTTAAGTGATTGTCCACTAGGACTCCGAGGTCCCTCTCACAGTTACCACTATTGATAAGGCTCAAAATGCCTTTCTCCAAAAGACTTGGTGTGACTTTCACCATGCAGGCATAAATAACCAGGAAGACATTTTAAGCAGCTGCCTCAAACCTTACAGAGGACATAGCTACCTTAATGATCCTGAAAAAGGATCC